CCATCAGCAAAATGTGCTTATCCTCATCCCTCCATCTCTTACCCGAAGCACATGGTACCACACAGAGGTGCCACCAAAGTCAATGTGGAAGTCTGTGTAGCTGTCTTTAACCCCCATCAGGCAGTACTTCTGAACGTTGGGCCTCTCAAACGCTGATTCCTCTGGCCACAGGTTCTCTACCCAGGACAGCTTGCGGACGATCTTGGGCGTTTCCACCAGGTTGGACAGCCTGAAAGAGAATCCATTGGTATTAAGTCTGGAAGCTCTTACAAGGGAATAGGGTCCATTCTTCATTAAACGAAGCCTTCTGAAGCCTGTGCTTTTTTCCTTATTAACACATTATTCCATTCTGGATCAACTCAGTTTAGGCTGGTTATTTATACAGTAATTGGAACACAGCACCACTGTTACACCCATTTCCCAAAAACATACTGCTACTGCACTATCCTACATGATCAGAGATATGATTATCATGTCATTTAAAGAGCACAACTACATTTGTATTACGATTCAAGCATGTAGAACCAGCCTACAGGAGTAGACATGGCACCTTGTCTCTGAAAACTCCAAGCTGATCACGTTGAGGACTCTGTCTCTGTTGGGGCTGTTGTAGTATTCCACAAATTCACCCAAGCGCATCTTCAGGTCGGCCTGGCGACCAACATCAATCACATCGATCTCCCGATCAGTTCCTGCAGACAGAAAACACATCAGCCTCGCCGCAAGGCCCCCGCCCCTGGGGGAACAGACCAGACAGGCACTGGGAGGCCACACGCATACCTATATAGTGCTCAACGTCAGAGACCGAAAAAGAGGGCGGGGGCAGGGTCATGCCCAGCCCATCCTTCCGCAGCACCAGCACTGGGACACTGAAGGAACGCTCCTCCAGGAAGTCCACCGTCAGCTGGGCTCCAGACGGCTTTAGAAGAACCTCCTCAGCACTGACATGAGAAACGAAAACAGGGAAGTATCACCTGCGCGGATCAAACAGCCGAACAAGCTGTTGAGTAGGATTGGGGTGGGGGTTACCTGGGAAAGGTGCGGCTGCGCAGCTCACGGACAAACTGAGATGAACCGGTCTTCACCGGACGGCTTGCATCCCTGGACACTCCCGCCCCATCGGACTGTCTGTGAGTCCCACGCCGCTTTCGCACTGCGGTGGAAAGAGGGGACCGTGACACACACAGGCACATCAAGGCACCCTGACAGAAAATCCCTTACATGGAATTGACACAGACGACCACAATGTGAAGCAAGTAAGGAGAGCACTGCAGATGGATACTCACTGACAGACGGACCATGTGTGACTTGACAGTTGGGGCAGTGGTAGAGGTCAATGTCCGTGGCTTTATCTTCCTCCACCCCTACACAGCTGAAGACCAATGCACAATGAGCTTATCAGAGCATGTCACACACCTTCGATGTCATTATATAACATAGCTACATCACACATAGTAGTATAATTAATCTACTATGAACTACATATTACAGCACTCTAAATATTGCGTTACCTTCCATGGAACCAATCTTGACAGACGTCACATTCGATCATAAAACGGGTGACGTCATACGGCAGCCGGCACAAGCAGTAAACAGGAACCGACGCCATGCCAACCAGATGGCGTCTTCAGGACTTTGTGTCGTCGGTGAACCACGGGCTTTGACGGTATTATGCCAGAAGATGTGCTTGGAGGAGGACAAACTGAAGTACTGCACGGCGCTTTGGTCTCAAGCTGCGACTCCACGGGATCTTCTCAAAGTCTCCCAGAAGGAAAATTAGAGCTCTACATACTGACAGAGCATGTCAGAGAAAATTTAGCAACAGGTGCGTTTGTACTTGGTATGTGTGATTCCCGTCTTACAGAATCCACTGCATTAGCCGGAGTCGTCAGCCTGTTGGGTGAGACAAACGCACTTTGAAACGAGGCATACGGCACAGATTGCAAAAATGACCACAAGAAACACCAACAAAAATGAACTGCATTAAAACTGATCAAACAGAAAAGCACAAAACCCATGCACTGTAGGACTATTTATGCAAGCATCCATCTGTCAACATTTTATACTAGATAAAAGTCTGTAGGGGGCCCTGGAGCTGATGCCAGGCAGCACAGGGCACAAAGCTGTCAATCTATTGCAGGACACAGGCACAAACAGTATCACACTGCATAGGCAATTTAGAGACAGCAGTTAATTAAGCTAACTGCATGTCTTTGGAGGGCTGGAGGAGACAGGAGTACCCATAGGAAACTCCAGGAACTTGGGGAGATCATGCAGACTCAACACACAGAGAGCATGGCTGGGATTCAAACCACCCCCCCCCCCCCAACCCTGGAGGTGTGAGCAGACAGAGCCACTGTGCTGCTCAGCACAATTTATATATTTTAAAAATTAGCAATATTATTATTTAGGCCCGTGATCCTGTCCAGAACAAGCAGGTGGAAGATGGATGGATTATTCTCTCAAGCAAATAAATCCGCTTTCCATGTCTGCTTATCCACGGAAGGGCTGTGCAGAGCCTAAGGGCAGCACATCACAGGACACTCACATTAAAATGAATTTAGAAACACAGAACCGCCTAGAGTTCTGACACTGGAAACCCACAGAAACAAAAGAAAAGACGCAAAAACACACAAAACCATGGCTGGGTTTGAACCCACAGCCCTGAAAGTGCCGTAACAAAGTCCTGTTAAATAAGCTTGCTCCATCAACATACACAGCACACCTTCGGCACTTTTAAACGTGCCTTCTGTCCAGTACACTCGTCAAGCGTTGTTTTAATTCCGTTAAAACAGGTGCAAACAAGTCAAAATATACGTATATACTACATACAAGACTAGGTAGCCGTAAAGAGCGCAGGACTCTGACATGCTGTTTAATCGTTTTTGCAAATACTGGAGAAATAAAATAAATACGAAAACAATCTGAAGCAATAAATATTTATGTGTGAAATTACTGCTGTTCACACCTTTTAAAAACCAATATATTAATTTTAAAAACACCCCGCAACTGGAGGTACACCAAGTTTGCTGAGACCGTTACACTTATCTCGCTCTTTTTAATATTATCCGCAAAACACGATTATTTAGCATTTCGCCAGGTAATTTCGCAGTATATATGATATATAAATATAACAAAATATGGTTTTCGCTTAAACTAGAAATACCGAAATTCATAAAAGATGCTTGAATACGCTGTCTGTCAAGATACGGACTTTTTGCTTCGGAGACGCGCGTTCGCTGCAATATTAACTATATTAGTATAAAATGCACACTTAATGAAGTACAAAACCCTTATTAAAAACTCTCAGCCTCCACGCCGTTCTGTTATCCTGTAATACAGCCTCCATGTGCTAGTTGAACATGTAAACATGACTAGTTACTAAACACCGCGAGCTAAGACAACGCGCCATAAGCCCTTTATAACTAGTTACCAAACACAGCAGGATAAAGTTTACCTAAAGCCAATATTATATAGTTATTAAGCAAGAGAGCAGTTAGTTTTATTAACAAAGTTTTGATTTACATCATGCAATATGGCGACATCACACAGCTCGAATATATATATTTACATGTACGTGTGAAGGCCGCTTGGAAACGTTACGGGTCTGCAGCGGAGCGGCCGCGGAGATCCGACGCCCGAGAAGCGGCGGGCTTCCCCACTCTGCGCCGAGGCTTCGGTATGGCCCAAAGCGGGGGAATCGTGTTGTTCGCCAGTAATTAGTGGAGATTCATCCGACTGTTTTTTGGAGAAATTTCCGGGCTGTAGAGCCGGACCGCTCCGGTTCACAAACCGACGGACAGAAATCCAGCCAGCAGGAACGAAACGGCTTTAACCCAGAGCGACCCTGGCACCGCGACGACGCTTGAGGCTGTCAGAGTGTGACTGTCAGCCGGAGGGGAACAATAAAGCTCGGTTAGATCGGTCCACATCCAGGCCTACACGGGCCCATCCGGGCGAGATGCTGAGGCCACATGTCTCCGAAAGCGAACGCTGTATGCCTACATAGGTCCCTAATTTTCAATAGTATAGCGCCTCTACAATTAGACTTAGCGGTTATTTCAAAATCTGTAAATCATATTAAAATAAGTTAGTGAACTCCTCATGAGCAGCTGATCCTGATCTTGTTTGAATGTAACTATAAGCACTCAAGTATACATTTGCAATGAAGACAAGATGCTTTGTTTTACTAAAAGAATAAATTTTATTTCAGCACTGTAAGTCATTTCCCAACCATACAAACATGACTGCAAACCCTTTGTCAGCCCTCTTTCCTTTCATCCATTGTGATAAGACCACAACAGCAAAACAAATATGGAAAAAAAAACATTTCTTTCCAAAACATTCTGGTGCTTTTTCCTGCTGCTAAAACACATTTTAGACTGTAAGAATATTAATAAGGAATTTACCCTTCACTGCACAAGTCCTTATAAGAGCTTCTGATACATATATCAGCACACACAGATGCATGTATCAGTCACACATTGGATGTGGTGGAACACACAGGAACCAGTGTCTAAAATACATATTCATAATAAATAGTAAAGTTGGCTATAGATTAATGATGTAATGAACAAACTCCTTCCAAAGCAGCATCTGAATAAGTTTGTGATATATAACGTGTAGGTCCAATCTGAAAGCGTGCCTTATTTTGTGAAGTGAAGGGTCGTGATAAAGAAATAATAGGGAGAATCATGCAAAAAATAAAAACTACAGACTCAAATCTAAATAAATGGAATGAACATTTTCTTAATAGTGTTTAGTGCCTAAACAGAAATAAACCCAAATTACTCGTTCTACATATGTGGAAAGATGGGTTAATACGGGAGAAATGTCCACGTTGACTGACAAGTTCAACCTAAATTCAGCTGAATAACCAGAACTCACAAGACTTATGCCCTATTTCAGCAAAAGATGTGAATATCACTATTTTCCTTTCACACAGTGGACCTCAATTCTTGTACAACTTCACCAGCTGAGCTTCATGATATGCAGGTAAATTTTTTTTTTTTTGGAATAAACAAATCTCGGTTGAAAGAACTTGAAAGCAAGTTTTTGGTTCTTGTTTTTTTTTTTCCTTCTCCCCACAAATAAGTCCTCCGTAACATTGTGCTTTCTGTAAGGCAATAAAAGGGCAGCTACCAACAAAAACAAACCCGAAACAGCAGGGTGTAGCAATCAAATTTTGCAATAGTTACATCAAAGTGGTGAAGCAGTCAAACAATTTCATATAAAATACAAGCAAGGGAAAAAACCGCAATTGATACAGGTTACAAATCGTCTACTTGTGCTAAAGCGCATTTCAATACTAACAATAAGCAACAGTGTACAGATAGTGGTAGTAATAACATTAGTAAGAAACACTTTTAGCTCCACACTGCTGGAAATATTTAATTAGCATCTTTAGAATGTTACATACATCCTCATTATGTGTATTTCAATTTGTTAATTTTGTTGGGGAGACGAGGAAAAAGTGGGAGATGGTTTAGAAATGTTGGAGACAAAGTTATTTTAGAGGAACCAGAAACAGGATATAATTCACATAACTACAAACAAACAATTGTCAGTAAGTCTTCTACTCAACGGTGTGTAGTACATCTAGGAATATGACCAGTAAGTTCCACTCAGGCCCAGGTGTCCCACCTGTGGGTGCACAGTGACTGCTTATACATGTGGTTTGTCAGTACATGCCAAGTTTGCACTGTTTCCATTTCATGTTGTTCATACAGCTGCTGTATGCCATTCACATCAAGTTTCTGTGAAACGTATTACTTTGTTTCTGGTGATTTATTATTATTATTATTATTATTTTTGAGTAGTGGGGGGGGGGGGGTGCTAAGCTTGCATCTACTATGACAAACCAAATGCATGACAGCCACATTTCATACCATCAGCTACAGGAGAGGCTCGGATTTAAATGTGGGTGAACATGGTCTCCTCCTTAAGCACTGTATGACTGTTTGTACATCGCTATATGCATTTCTAAATATCCATGATACTCCACTTTAAGAGTGGAAGTGTATCTGCATAATTAAGTGATAGCTTACCTACATTCACCAACAGGACTCACCAAAACTATACAGAGATACAGAACATTAACAAGAAGATGGCAGTTGTGGATTCAGTGTGGTATGTGTGTCGGTGTGTATACATGCACAAAAGGAGGACAATGTCAAGGTCAACTATTGTATTTTTAAAATGCTTTACCTATTTAATGAACTGTACTATACATACTGTACTAGGTTCACAGTCCAGTCCAACCTACTGTGGCTCAGACTACAGCCCACCTGGTATTCATTATGTCTGCCTACAGTTCCAGTCTAATGCATTACACGCTAGGAAACACAGCAAAGCATAACACTGTTTAATCTAGACTTATTAAGAACAACAAATACGAAACCTGTTGTTTCAGTCTTTGCTTATGATTATTTGATAAGGTGAACAATGAATTGGGCCATTTAAAGTGATTCAGTGTTAATAATTCTTTACCTTGGGTTCAAAAAATATACTTCATAAATAAAGGGTATAGTCAAATTTATCATTAAGTAATTTTCTGAAAATAGTTTTAAAATATTTAAAAGTAAGGTGCTTGAAACTGACTTTTAAAGTTAAAGTTAATCAGAACATTCTGGGCATTTATTTCCTAAAGGTACAATGCCCAGTGTCCTGGCTTCTTGGCTTAAGTTTAAAATAGTTCAGTATAGTCTTCTCAGCTATATTATTAGTGTTACACTTACATTTCACCTGGGCACTACTTGTACATTAATTCACATTTTTTGAATATACATGTCATTTGTAAATTACTACTTGCTGTCATTCTGATAATTATGACAACTGAGTTTACGGATTTCTGCTGGCAAAAAAAAATATTCTTTTAAACAAACAGGTAATTTCAGACATCATCCAGTGCCAAGAGCAGCAAAAAGGCTATGGACTATAGCATAGAGTACAGAGGATGAAATACTTATACCATCCTTTTTGTACAATGCAATGCACATTATTTTTTCAATTTTTACACCCATCTAAGTGTATTCGATTAAGTCATTACATGCATCTTTGGATAGCCAAGTAGTACTGTTTGGCTAATAACTGGATCTGTTGATAGGTAAATGATTAAACAAATGAAATGACTCCCTCCTAATAGAAATGAGAGCCTGACAGTTATAACTGCCCTCTTCCCGATAGCTGGCCAATAGTAAAGCATGAAATCAGCAAAGCTAAGAATTTCAGTCTCTGCAGTAATTTGGGTTATAATGGCTCTATCCACATTAATAAACACATTAGCCACAAATAACACCAGGTATGCCCTAAGAAAACAAGTAAAGGCAATTACTCATGGCAATCAATGTCTTCACAAGTTCATGCCACCTGGTTTAACAGCATGGGGGATTAATATATAACATAAAGCATTATGTTTTTTTACGAGGCTGCCCATGTTTTAATTTGGTATGCAGTTAAATTGGTAGCAGGGAAATATTTTCTCTTCAAAATCATAACAAATGGTAGGAACTGTTTTTCAATTATGAAATCCAAACAGGAAATTTTGTCTAAACCACTTTTGGGGTTTCAACTTAGGCCTCATTTTATCCTACATGAGAATAAAGTGATATTTATTTTCATACAAAACCACAATTTACTCACTTTGTTCTCACATTCAAACTGATTTTTAACAAAACATCTTAGATTTTCATTGTAAATCTCAAAGGTACTTTAGAAATAAATACATATATATTATATAAACTCATCAAATCTGTATTAACTTGGTCTTTGTCTTTCCATAAGAATAAAACTAATTTTCATGGCCAATATACAATGAAATAAATAAAAAGTTTACTTAAACCAGTTATGTGGTTTAAGATTGGGCTGCATAAATTGTAACATCTCTTATTAAAATTCTGAGTGCAGAGTACTTAAAAGAAATAGGTATATTTTTGTCAATATACACAAAATGTTTAGAGTCACATTAGTTAGACTTGAAAAATAAATTTGCATTAATTTGTAGGAGGCAGCATACAATCACTCTGAAAACAAGGTGCACAAAAATGTTAATTGCAAAGGGAAGTCCTTTTGTTGGCTGTGTTTGTTTAGCTTGTGCAGACGGGACAGGAGTCACTCCGCTGCACAAGTCTGAGGCTGCACCAGGCTGAGGACAAGCTTGATTGTCAGATAGAGTGTTCGCCACAAGCTGTCACGGGAGTGCAGTCATGCTGAAGCCCACACTGCGTACGTTTACCCTCCATCCGTTCAATTTACTCAGCACAGCACCGCGAACCTTCTCAAGTCAACCTCTCATGCTTCTAATACTTTCTCAGGTGTCAAAAACAAGATTTTGAGACTTGGACTGTGGCTAACATCTTATACAATAAAAAGACAACTTATCTACTCTCAATTCTCATTTTGTTGCTTCACTTAGTTTTGTTACACATTTGCTATTGGACTAAGATCTTTGACCCTACTGTGCCTTACCCAAGTTACAGGCCTCATACAGTAACACAACACACAGCACAGTCTGGTGCAATTTAGTACAGAGCTACTGTACCAATGTGCTGTATCAATGCAATCATCTCTACACTACTCGTCATTACACACTGTTGCTGTAATGTCTACACTACACTGCTCTCTTAAAATGTGACTGACGTGGGTTATGCTTCTCAAAATATTTTGAATTCACGGACAACTGTAGCCATTTTGAAAACAGAGTGTGGTTATTTTTGGGATAGGGGACTAGGAGTGGGCAAATGCTTACCCACGCCCAAGAGCTAATCTAGATAAGTGATTTATTTTTTACTGGCTTAAATAGGTCTTTCTGTTCTTGTCAGGAAACACTTGTGTGTCATTCCAAATTAAAATTGCTCAGTGTAAAATGACAAAAAGGATGTAAGTGCGAATGATTGGCAAAATGGCTACAGCAGCCCTTGAAGAGAATTTACCATGGCAAAGGCATCACAAGGACTCCCTCTCCCCCTTATTACGTTCTGGCATGAGTTCACTCTTCCTTCTGTAGAGCTCCATCTGATGAGCTTTCATCAAGGCAACAAGGTGCCTCCGTCTCCACTCTGTCTCCTGATTGGTTGTCTCTGCTGGCTAAGGCACACTGGATTGGCTGGACCAGAGGTGGGGGGTCTAGAGGCTGGACAATGGCTGGTGCTGGAGAGTTGCCATTCACGTGCTGAGGCACACCTCCGTCAACCTCCCCCTCAGAAAGTCTCCTTGCCCCCTTGATCTCTTCAGTGGCTTTTGGCGGGGTAATAGAGGGTGGGGTAGCGGGCAAGGTCTAAAAAGATACAGAGGTACGCAAATTATGTATTTTGTATTTAGTACATTTTTGCTAAACATTTGACTGTCCTCTCCCCTCACTTGAAGAACTGCACAGTTCTTCACTCAGTTCTCAGGAACATCAAGAAAATTCTTCAGGACCCATCACACCCTGGACATGTGCTGTTTGCAGGCCTGCTTTCAGATCCATAGACTAAAACTAAGACTAAAAAAACTTCAGCCATCATCATACTAAATGATGCTAAGCTGACAATCTGATCTAGTGCACCTTCATGTTTACAATACAGTCTTTTGTTTACAACTCAGTTGGACCATTGCTTTACTTTAATGCTGCTGTTTTCAAGTGCAATAGGTGAAATGCGCAGTATGTCGAAACTATGGGGAATGACTTTTATCGTGCTGGTCTGCTTGTTTATTGGATTTTTTGTTTTATTGTTACTAATTTGTCTATTGTTTTCATGTTGTGACATTGGAGAGGGTGGACTTTTACATTTTGTTGCTGTGGAAACAACAATGACAAAAGAGAATTTGATTCTGATTCTAAAAAAAAAATCAAGATTCTACATTTTTAAATGAAATCTAATTATAAAAACGTATAGCAAAAAAATAGCAGAAAATACCTGCGTCCTATTGGTTGGCTTTTTCCCACCCCTTGCTTTTCCCAGGCCTTCTTTGCCCCTCCTGGATTGGTCAGTGGGGGTAAAAAACATATTTACTGTCCTTAAAGACGACTTTCACCACAATCTATTGCAATATTACATGCTTAGTAAAACAAGAAACACCAACAATGCTCATCTCCAAAAATAGAATGCTTATGTATTTCATTTCCTATCATCAATGGACAGTTGGCTATTTTTCTTTGTTTTAGGCCTTAATAGGTTTGCTTTGGCAGACACAAAGCGGAAAGGTGATCTAATTCTCAGTATATTGGTTGTTCATGATTTCAGTCAGGATTAAACAAAGACCAGGACAAGGACTGTAACTACTGGTCTTTTCAAGGGATCGACATAAGAAGTTAAACAGGTCCTGTCAGGTGCGTATCACAATACAGATGACCAGTACTAATTAAAACACAAATATATCCTGAGGTCCTGAGCCAGGAAAAACAGTTTCAGTTTTCTAAGCGTACATTTTGCATTTCCTTTGGATAACATGACATAACGCTCTTGTCCTCACTGAATCTGGGGTAGCCCTGTAATGTTCTGTCAGCCAGAAATCGTATGGTGACAGAGATGTACAACAAAACTAAGTGTAAAAATGCATTCTGTTTAAGACGACAAACATCCCCTTTCCCATTCACAACAACGAAAGTCCACAGTCGCTACGTACCCTTTCCCTCCTCCAACCGACACCACCTGCATGTTGAATCCACCTCTCCCACGTGCAGGCTTGTTCCCAGCCCATTGGCCAACTACCATACCAGCGATTTCCAGCTTCCCTCCCTGGGGGGGAATGGACTGAATGCCTGGGCAAAGAATCAGCCAAGATCTCTTGAACAACTAGCTAAAGCACGAGTGAGAAGGGGCCGTGAAGAGCAGACGGAGAGCCTCACCTGGGAATGTGCGCGGCCTGTGCGGCGAAGGGTGGTGGTGGTGGTGAGGAGGCGGGGGCATAGAGCCTAAGGGCCTGGGAGGGTACATGGGAGCGAGAGGGTAAAAGGGCGGAACCACAGTGGGAGGGAGGAACGCAGGAGGAGGGAGAGGTGGTGGAGGCGGGGGAGGGCGGGAAAGATTGATCCCCTCGAGAATCGCCTGCCGCATCTTCTCCACTCGAGACACCTGCTCTTCCTGCAGACAAACAGGAGAGATTAAAGAGACAAAACATCAACCTTGGAAACAAAGGCCAGCAGGGCAGACAATAAGGACTGATGATTCAGAGCCCAGGAATTAGTTCCCTCAGTAATGCCCGTCTTGTCCATTCAGTCAAAGCCTGATCTCATGTCAATGCTAATGTGTCGCTCACTCCGTGCCACTAACATGTGCGTCCGGGTAAAAACACGGCGGTGGAAATGACTGTGTGTCGGGTGTGTCAGGGCCTCAATGACACCTGACGGCCACATCAACACACGTCACCTGCCTGAAGCATTATGATGGACTGGGAAGAGGGTCACCTCCTGCCTACAGACTCCTGAATGTGTCTGGAATAGCATGGTATGGACTCCTCTTACAGGAGGGTGGAGAAAACCCGACTTCACCCAAATAAGTTGTTCACTCACAACATTTGTCCCATTTAGTGTAAAAAAAAATAAGGCTGTTACAGAACCTGAGGCAGAGTACTATACATTTAAACATTTATAATACTATAATCAGAATACTTTTATTATCCCAATGCAAACTGTTTATATCTCACTGATTATTACATCTGTCTTCTCTTTAATTTGCTCCAAAGCCCTTTGCTTGAAGTTACAAATCCTTGAGAGAGAGAGAATACTCAGGAGACGGGTCCCTGGCTCTCACCTGGCCCTCACACATGTCCAGCAGGGTCCCCCTGTCCCGAGCGGCCCGGGCCAACTTGCTTTGGAACAACTTGCCGTCAAAGAAGCCCCAGGGACAGCAGTGCTCCCAGGGCAGGGGCTGGCCGCACACGTCATTGACAAAGAGGGCCGTGTCCACGCCGCTCATGAAGAGCGAGGCCAGCTGGACGCCGCGGCTGTCGATCTTCTCCAGCTGCGGCGGCGCAGAGATGCAGGAGGGATGAGATGGGCAACGAGCAGGATGATTCAGCTGCTTTCTCACACACTCAACTGCGAGGCACTGTCATTAAACATTTAAGGCGAGAACAGAATGGAGGAAGGGAGGCGGGCAGAAGTGCTCGTACCTTGAGCTCCTGCAGCTGGTCGGGCTCATATAACTGGCGGGACACGGCCTGGGCTAAGAAGGCATCCAGTTCATGACGCTGCAAGATTCTGCCTCCAGGCCACTGCATCATGTACCTGTACACAAGCCACAATGGTGAGTGTGCGTTTAACAGCTCGTCATCATCATCACCTAAACGTATGCGACAGTGATGGCCGATTGCTTTCTGAATGAGTATGAATGAGCGAGGCCAATTCTGCAGGCACCAGCGCAGGGTAGTTTTAGGTCAGGCCATCCACAGAGCACTATTGGAGATCTGTTTCTGGCCTGGCACAGATCATCCAGAGAGCTCTCATACCCGAGGCTGAATGGCACGCAGAGCCAAGGCAGACCTGCCTGGCTCTGCTCCAAATTAGGCTGAGCGCACTTATAGCGACAGAACCGCCCCTCCAAACTGTGACGAGTCCCAGCTCACCGGCACTGTTTGCATTTGACCCGAACTGAAGGCTGAGGTGAAAGACTCCACAGCACTGGAAAACGGAGGCCACATTTTAAATGCCAAAAAGACTGGTAAACAAACTGATGCGTCTATCCAAGATGACTAATTCTGTTCTCAGGGGAGCGATTCAGTTTAGAGCCCCGATCCTACAGCGAGCTGCACCAGACCCGAAGCTTGCAGCAGATAGGCGGGTGGCGCCGGCAGTCGGCCGCACGGACCTGAGCACGCAGCACATGAGCAGCAGGTGCGAGGGCACGTTGGCAGGGTTGAGCAGGGCTGGGCAGTCGGAGCGCATGCAGGCCAGGAAGGCGCGGGTGCGGCGGCTGCGGTCCTCGGAGGCCCGGCCCAGCCAGAGGCGCCGCAGGTTGGGGCAGGTCCACTCGCGGAAGCACAGCGCCGGCACGAGCTCCGGGGTGAGTGCGGATTTGGCCTTGCTGGCACACCACTCCTTCACAATCACCGGGGGAACTGGGGGGGAGCAGCGGAGAGGAAGGGGAGGTCAGGGGGAGCACTTCAGGGTTCATGTGCCAAGGTCAACGCCAGCGGAAATGAATAAACACAGCGTCCCAAAGTCTGTGGTGCGCTGACCACACTGACCCCAGTCTGGCCTAACTCAGGACACTAACTCTAATTCAGTGTTTCCCAGTCTGGTCCTCAGTCACCCACAGTCGGTCCATGTTTTTGCTCCCTACGAACTCCCTGTCAGACGGAGCAAAAACATGGACTGTCTGTGGGTGACCGAGGACCAGACTGGGAAACACTGCTCTAATTGTATACCAGTGCTGCTGGATGCAGACGCGGTCTGGTGCGTCATTAGCGCTAAGCAACGCTTGGCCCACTGGGGGCTCCCTGCGTTCTCCCCCCGGCCTCACCCTCCAGAGGGGCTCTCTTGCGCATTGCCATCCTCTCCAGCCTCCTGTGGGTCTCCGCCAGGCTGAAGAGCACTCCATAGGCATACTGCCTGGCGGAGCGGAAGAGCAGCGACGCAGGAGGGAGGTCAGGGTTACAGTCATCCTCTATACACACCGGCATCTTCATCTCCCCCTGGGACAACAAGACGGGAGGCGTGGCAATGCAGGGTGAGAGAGTCAGGTGACCACCAGAAGGCAACAGTGTCAGCATAAGCTGCATCTAGAGAGAAGTACCTTGGTGAGGATGTGGTAGATCTGGGGGTACATCAGCCCCCTCCTGTGTCGGTGTTCAGCTACTCTCAGCACCTCTGCACTGACTTGTGGCAAAGGGGGTGTGGTGATGTCCATGTGGCTTCGTGTCGCCATAGAGAGCAGCGATGGAATCGAGGGGCCGCTCCCGTTCCCGTTAGGGCCGTCACCTGAAGCTCCACCCCCGCGGCTGCCAAGATCCTCCCACCTGGAGGACTTGTCAGCCAAATGGCTACAACAGGGGGCAGGACAGGAACACTAATTCACAGTACGTTCATTTTAATGACCAGCCCTGCAGCACTAAAGCAGAAGACCGATAATAAGTGGAAATTAGCGGGAGAACATTTTAAAACAAATTTGAGGAAGCACTTCTTTACACAGCGTGTAGTCAGAGTATGGAATAGTCTTCCTGCTATTGTAGTGGAAGCTAAAACCATGGGTTCCTTTAAATCAGAGCTAGATAAGATTTTAACAACTCTGAGCTATTAGCTAAGTTCTCCCCAAACGAGCTTGATGGGCCGAATGGCCTCCTCTCGTTTGTAAATTTCTTATGTTCTTATGTTCTTATGACCGCATTCTTCAAAAGGGATAATTTTCAAACAAAATCGGCAAACAATTATCAGCACCATTAAATGTTATGTTGACCGAGTGCAAGAGAAGCAGGACATCTGACCATGAAAGTACAGGTACACACCGCAAATGCTACCCTGATTTGACATTTAGAGGTCGTTGAAAACTGGAGAACCCTGAAGCTGCCGCGAGTTATGAATCTCAGGTTCACCTTTGTTTAACGTCACGTTTATGTCTTCCAGGATTCCAGACAACTAACTGTTCCAACAATAGTACTCTAGCAGTATTTTCGTTGTTAAATCGGACATTATTCAGCATCCCAAATCATTTTGAGAAGTCATCCTTCTCTCTGCTGAATCAGTTGGCAAACAAACTTACTTGCTGGCGTCATTTTGTTCCTCCCCATCAGAGGAAGACGATGGGGAAGGAGATTGACCTGAAGGAGCAGCTGTGTGGTGATTGGGTGTCCTGGCTCCCCCCTGAGATGAGTCGTAAGGAGCCGACCAATCGGCAAAGCCTGTCTTTCCCACCAATGAATCGGTGCAGTCTTGTGCGGGAGGTGGTGGATTTTGGAACAAGAGAGCTGGCCCAGGAGCACAGCCATGTCCATATGGCGCAGCATGATAAGGCACCTTGCCACCTGTCACCTGGCAGCAGAACACGGGCAAGGGGGTGGAGTCACACAGACCCAAACAAGGAAGAAGAAAGGAAAAGATCACTTTTAAACAACCATATTATATAGAGCGAGAAAAAACAGATAAAAACAGACATTACCCGGGAGCCTGCAGAATTTGTGCCAGGAATGTGGCCGTCCACATGCTGCCATGGGAATAGCCTAATCTTTAGAGCCACCTCTCGAGGTGTTTATAGCTTGGATATAGCATTGGGGGCCAGAGGTTCCATAAATGGTTTACACAAGCCCCTTCACCATCATCAAAGGACAACAGTGTGTAGAGACGCGCATGGACACAGGGACGGAGAGCAGATCTGGGCAGCCAATGTTGTGAAAGATGCATAATTGTGTGGAGCTCATTCTCCCAGCCTGGTACAGGGTTTTTTTCCTGTTATTTTAGGACAGTGAGTTCAACCCTGTAGAAAACTCAGAAATCTTCAGAGGCGTGGAGGTAGGGGAATGCTGCTGCCAGGCCTCTGTCATGGTGCCGGACTCCTGCTGCACATTGTACTTGTGCCTTCCAGGCTCCATGAGGGCCCAACAGGCCACTAAGTCACATTTTATCATTTCTATTTCTGTCCACGCTTTGCACTCCAATGAAAATTCAGAGATTCTCTACTGATTTACGTTCATGATTGAATTAGGCCAAACAGCAATTATTTACTTTATTATTAACAAAACCTGGTAACATTTTAACACACAGTCTGTTACGGAAACCTGACGGCAAACACTATTGTGTAATGACTCCACTGTTCTGCAAATGAGTTAATGCTGTAAAGATTCGTCTTAACAAAAGGCGATTTTAGCTGCCCCTAGACCTGGATAAGAACACCCCAATACATCCCATTATGTTCTTATTCACAAAGGCTGTTTTAAAGAAAAGCAACTTAACAGAAAGAAATGGCTGGGCCTCACAACACTAACTGTGCTGTGGGTTACGTGTAAATGACATCATTGCACAAACACTTCAAATGACCTAGAATATTGCCTGTCAGAAAGCCAGGTGTGGAAGAAGGGGCTAAAATAATGAAATGACTCACCTGAGGCTTCCCAGGCTGCATGGTCCCAATGTGACCAGAGTGACCCCCAAATGGACCAGAACCAAAGCCGGGAACTAAGAGAGCCACATAAGGCAATAGCAGTCAAGATGGATTAAGAGTAGAAATGGCACAAAAAATAAAAGGTGAAAGCACAAATGACAAATGTGACAGTCCCATCTCATTTCAAAATCAGGAGCATTCTTATTTGAAATTAAGATCTCACAAAAAAAGCCACAATCAGGGAGGCCACTGGGTTAGGGTTAGGGTTAGGTTTAGGGTTAGGGCTGAGCGAGCGTGTGGAACTGGCCGTCACTCACAGAGGTATGGCGTGGGCCCCACAGACAGCGGTCGAGGGTTACTGGCCACTGAGAAATACTCCACTGCCTTCTTAAACCTGTCCACCTTGTCCTCTGTCCTAGACTGGAGAAGCAGGACAGCAGCATGCAGAAGGTTAGCACTGTATGCCAACCATCAAATGGGAAGAAGTCCCCCAACAACACAGACCTGCGTGGACCCACACTTAGCCCACCCACAGGTGGCGCTGCAGGCTGTGAAAGGACAAAGACTATCCAACACACCCACTGGCAGCATCTGCATTTATACGTGCTGCGATGGGCTGTCATTCAGACGAAAAGTGAATCGCATTAACGCGGAGGCTACCATACACAGCAGGACTGAAGCATAAACAGTACTGTTCCGGAATATTCAGATGCTTTTAATCCTCATCATTCCTCTTCAAATAAAAGCTGTTTTTCTGAAGTCGGTACATATTTAACTATACCTATGAATAACTACAAAGGTGAAAACAAAAATGAAGCAGGTGTGAATAGATGTTGTACTTGCAAAGTGTCGGAAGTGATATAGGATGTTTTAAAAATAAACTGGGGCAGACGTCCTGGCGCTCACCTGAGACTGCTTAAAGACATCTCTGGCCACAGCGTCCAGGTTTCCAAGATCCTTGATCGAGGAGACATACTCAGACACTGCTTTGATCACAACCTCACACGGAGGCAGCACTAACTGGTGAGCCCGCACCTGGCAAAGGGGGGGGGGGGAGGAGGAGGCAATTCATCCATAATATCTATAGTACCATGGAGCATGCAGAGAGAAATGTGACATACACCCCACAAAGAAACGCAGGAATATTTAAGACCCAACCAAGGGACATGAAAAATGTCCCCACAAGCTAAAAAGTCCCCACAATGTGGTGAATACTCCCCCCCCACCACCACACACATACACACACAAAACAGGGGTACCTTAAGAGAGGCCAAAGGATGTTCGGGGCCTAACAGACTCCAGTGGAAGGCAGCCAAGTCCTCATCTGGCAAAATGTGATTCCCTTGGGAATAATTTTTCAAATTACAAAAAAACATTCATGTCTGAAATATGACCAGCAGCCCACCTGATTATACTGAATTATGACAAAACAGACTTATTGGAATATGGCTGTAAAGTCTATAGTCACCAAAAAAGACATGAGCAGACATGCTGGCAGCCTGTCTCACCGAGCAGAGCAGCAAAGGTAGGAAGGTGGTGGGTTTTGAGGCCCAGCTGTCGAGCCGCTTCAGAGAGCAGATACTGATGGGTGGTCAGGTTCTTCCCGTTCCATGACAGCTTGAGGGCATGTGAGCTAAAGTAGGCTGGAACATTGCATAAAGCAAATTCCGAATCCTGGGCAATCAAGCCCTGGAATCCAAAATCCCTATACAGGGAGAGTACCTCCTGGTGATGGTCCTGGAGAGTCTGAACCACCTGGAAAAGGAAGAGAAGTCAGAGGACAGAAGGCCTAAAAGAGGCATAGCAGTGCCCAATCATGCCAAAATATTCAGTCCAAAAGCCGGAAATGGAAAATAATAAGTTCTATTTAAATGGCTACTTTAATGGATCCTGATATAAAAAAATAATTTGCAACAACAAATATTTCTGCTGGCAATTACCTTTCCTTTAATTCACACAAATCCATTGCAAAACAAAGCTGGACACTGCGCAAAAAACAATGTTTCTGCTACAGCTGCTACAAAAACTTATTCAGAGCCATTTTCCCCCGTGGTTTGGTTGGTACATGCCTACCTGGACAGGTAAGCTGATGCTCTGCAAGAGATGAAGCTACTCTTTCAACAAGTGCTTTGCATAAAATTTCGCTGACTCAACACATGGTAGCGAAGTTTAATGAAATCAGCGAGAAGCCCATGTTGCACGGCGGCAGGCCAGCAGTCAGGTGACCTACCCGTACGCGGAAGCGCAGCATCGCCAGGCGGACACAGTGGCTCAGGCAGGCCGGGGGCAAAAACCACGCTCTGGGCGGAGGTGTGGCCTTGCTGCCCACATGATTGACGATGAGCTGTGCTGTCTGTCTCTGCGCCTGCGCCCGCCGTGCCCACTCTGGCCAGCGGTCCTTCCCCAAAGTACCGTTGAAGATCACAACCAGCTCGAGGCCGCCTTGGTACAGGCAGGCCTGCGACAGGGCCGCCAGGTATCCCAGCATGGCATTCCACTGCCCGCCACACACCCAGTCGGTCTGATAGCCCCCATAGAGCCGCTGCAGACCAGAGTCTGCATCAACCAGCAGGCGGGCCGGAGGGGGGGGTGGGGGCAGCGAGTTCGGGTGGTGGTGATGGTGGTGCGGTGATTGCCGGCTTGTGCTCCGCCCAAGTTTGAGCAGGTCCACGGATACAGCAGCCCCGGGACAGCACTTCTCCAGATACTCCTGGAAGCCCTGGACCCCCATGACAGCGAGGGCCTGAAACTGTAATCTAGGTCTTTAACCCGTGAAATTATTCTGGGACTGAAATGTGGGATTTTCACCTGAACAATTAACCTGGGACTGTAATCTGGGAGTTTAAACTAAAAAAATATAACATGGGGCTGTAATATGGGAGAAAAAAAACGAATCTGGGACTGTAATCTGGGGAATTAGTCTAGGGACTCTGAAAACGTCAGTGACGAAAACCCACAAACTATTTCAACTGATGGAGGTAGCCAGTAATTTAGTTAACCGGTCTTACGTTTCTTCGCCAATCACACTAATGTTTTTTATTTAAAACTTACTACACATTACAAGTATCAATATTTAACTACAGGGCATATGGATATAACCGGTTTGAGAAAAATAAACCACCCCAACTAGCGGATTTACGTTAGCCACGTTATTTTGCTATGCTAGCATGTGTATGTAGCTGCTAGTTATCTTCTTTTCTATACTATACCAGTTCTGAGCTTACTACTTAACTACCTATCCTTCGGATGGGTTAACCGCTAACCCGCGACAGCACTGGTATGCCCATTAACTGGTTAACCAGATCGTTAACTAGGAGCCCACATAGCTGGATAGCTAAGAGGGTGGATAGCTGCCTAGCTTAGTATAGCGCTGTTATGTTCGTTTGGACCGTTTCCTCCGGCTTGGTCTTATGCCTGGCGATGTATAACAAGTGAATAAATGCAATAATGGTTGTCAGGCTGCCATATCCTCACGCGTTTACCCGTTATATAGGCTTTTTAACCACCCACACCACACACGGCAGCTAGCACCCTTAGCCCTTCGGCACAGCAACGTTTACAGACTACTGTCGACCCCGCTAGCTTTACGGCTATTCAGCTAACCAGTAAACTACCCCACGCGCATAACTAGCTGGTTGTGGCGGAATACAGTCAGGCCAACCAGGTGGAGAATAGTTGTTTGCAACGTAACTAAGTAGTTAAAAAAACGTCAGGCTAGCTGTTGGCTAGTTGTGAGGGAGGGGGCGAAGGATAAAGGAAAGGGGATGTGGAATGGAATGGCGGCTAAAAGAAAAAAATAAAGAAAAAGAACAAAAATAAAAGAGGGAAAAGCCGGCTGGTGGTTCCCGCAGTGTCCCACTCACTCACGGTTTCATGCCGTAGAGAAGACGGGCTTCAGGCGTCGGCCATCTTGTCGCTGTGGCTTTTCGCTCCGCGGGCAGCGCAGGGACGCGGGGGGGGGGAGCGGAGAGGAGAGGATACGCGTGGGGAGGAGAGGTGGGAGAAGTGCGTGACAGAACCCTGGGGAAGGGCAAGGCGAAATGGGGCGCCCCAGCTGTCAGCCCTCCTTACACTCTCACCTCGCCAACATGGGAAAACCACAGCTGGCTAGAAACTACAAGGGAATAATTCGCCTACCCCCCATCACTTGAAAACAACTGGATTTACTTCCCAGTAGGCCTATGTACCCAATGTGTTTAATTCCAAGTAGGAAACTTCAGGAAAAGGAGTGACAACATTTGGTTAATTTGAATCAAAGTCAGTCTTTGGGATCTCCGTGAAAGTGTTTTCAGCAATAAACCAACATGTTTTGCAACATGTACAGTGCAATTATTACACACACACACAGTTCTGGTCCAGAAAGTACAAATCCAAGGTTTTGTTGCAACCAACCAGCCGAGTACCCTGTGACTGTGACTCTTTATACTCAACTAGTTGGTTGAAACAAAACCTTGGTCCGGATGTATACGTTCTCGACCTGAACTTTCCACCTTTGTCTTACTTTTGTGACTTCCCCAACACTGGTTTTTACCTTTATCTTTACATTTACCTTTTTAGCTAATTAATGGAATATTTTTATAGTCTCCATTCAATTTGTGAAATTTTATTTCAATTATTTAATTTTGCTGAGAGGGGGATTCGCCAACAATAAATTTTGCCAAGCCTCCCCCATGATAACCTCTTTTCTGATTTCCGTGAGATGGCAAAATGGGTTAAAAACCGTGAATGACACCTATGCATCACATTACATAAACAATTATGCCAGATAGCCAATCCGAGACTGGGTGTCAATGAAATCTGTGCGATGTCCTCTTCAAAGATGGAGGTCCCCGAAGAGGAAATGTGTATGTCACCTTCACCCACCTGAGGCTGCAATAGTATCATGCATTGGGAAGGATACTTATAGCAATTAGCTATTTACCAGAAGCTGCCATTTATGGGGCTGGCGAACTAAAAGAGCCATGAGAAAGCACGCACTTTAGATTCAATTAAATTCAATTCAATTTTATTTATATAGCGCATTATCACAACATTACATTGTCTCAATGCGCTTTACATTTCTGCCTCGTAAGGACCCCCCATTGAGTAAGCCAAAGGCAACGGTGGCAAGGAAAAACTCCCTAAGAGGAAGAAACCTTGGGAGGAACCAGACCCAAAGGGGGAGCCCATCCTCCAGGGGCCGGCAATCAAGATGACATCCATCAATCAGCCACTTCTCTGCCACAGACTTGCAGTGAACAAACCTATCCCACAATGCACCAGGCACCAGGACATCAGAAACAGAACACTAGTGAAATATGGATTATCCAACACAAAATATATTGCATGTATTGTTCAGTATTGCAATAGTTGTTTTTTTTTCACACATATATTGACCTTGTCATATTAATAAATATATAAATAATAAATTAATAAATATAAAACATAAATATCCTAATAGAATAAATGCAGATTACATCTATCAAAAGGGAAGAAGGGAAAGATACAACAAAGCACGATAATAAGTCACTGGTTACGAAACAAAATCACTTGTTCTTCTTCCTTTTCCTTCTTTTTCACTTCTCTAAGGGTGCTGTTCTTGGGATCCCATACTTCTTTTATTTTCATCAATAACAGGCAGAATTTTAGTACCTTCTGGACAGAAAGGACAAATGCCTGCAGATGTAAGAATCTTCTGGTCTTTCTCATCTTCTTCCTCCTCCTCCTCACACTTACTCATCCCTTCCCTGATGTCTGGGGGATACAAGGGAGCCATCTGTCAGTCTGGCTGTTCCCCCCCCCCCCAGCTCTGACTGAGAATTCATCGACTTTTCTCTCTGCTGTGTCCTAATTGCTGCACATTCTTTGTCCAGACTCCAGTTCACTTGCCTAGCCTCCAGATGGGTAGTCTGAGATTCAACAATTCGTTTATCATTTGAAAGAACAAACTTAAACAAGTGTGTTACATCACATCTTCTGTATCTCTCAAATGCAGGGCCTGCCCAAGTCTATTCAAGGCCCTAAGTAAAATTTGAATTGGAGTCCCTTACCCTAACATCCACACCACTGGCCTTAGTATGATTATCATATTTGTTTGTAGCAAAATAACAGGAAGTTTGTAGCAAAATAAAACAAAACCAAAAAACAATAAGAACTTCCTCCTGAAGTTCAAATAACCAGATTGAATGTTATTTTGGGTATAGTATGTCAATAGCCAGTGCATTGCTTTTAAAAGCTGGAGGTAAGGATTTAAGAGGATGACTACCAGCAACAGTGAACATGCCATTGGGAAGACAAGGCAGACTGGAGAAATGTCATAGATATACGGTCACCGGGAATCAAAATGCACTTGACAGCATATCTTAGTGATGATAATCTTCAGCAGTGATGGTGATGCCACTTCGGCTGCAATTAGGTGGAAATTATGGAAATGATTAATGCTTTTGTCTTGAATTTGGGTCTTTTCATGGAATTAAGTTTAAGATTGAAATAAACCCAATTAAAACTGATTCAAACAGAAGAAAGGGAAGCAGTTCAATAAGCAGAGCACATAATGGCAAATGAACACTGCTTGGTTGAGTTTGCGCAGCACCTGCCTAGTCACTGTGCACTACACTGCCCCCTGGTGGAAACTCGTCATGTCGCTGTCCATGGTGCGTTTCATTGGACCATCCGTTACCTAAACATGTACCTGTGTAATGTAGGCCTGTCACATGAGCCAAGTAGCATATATCCAATTCTCTTTGGCTAAAAGTCCATTCTAATAATATTATTTATACCATAATTATAAACAAATGGTGTTTCAAACGTTGGCCATAATAGAATTATTTTTATGCAGTTCTTTCACGTGGCTAACTCAACGATAGGCCTGCAATTCAAGTAATTAATCTATATCTTCAGCGATAGATTAACGGATTTATGATCTGCATCCACAAACACACACACACACGATGTCAGCCACCATCTCGTTTCTCTTACTTTCCAACTCTTGAAACCAACATGCGCCGGCCGACCCGCACGAAGGATTAAAGTATTAAAGTAAAGATTCTCCGTGTTTAGTTTTTAACGTCTGGACGTGCGCAGGTTTTAAATTGTGGAAATATTTTGTTTGTTGTCTCCGTTTACGAAACATCAGCGACAAGGTCGTATATGTTATACTTTCAATGTAGCCATATCTTTACTATCAAAGTCAATCGCGAAATTTTACGCTTTTCAATTTCAGTTTTTTTTATATAGGCAGCCCTCTTAAGATATTCAGCAGTTACCGTGTCATGGTGTCAATCATTAAGTTATATTCTATAACAGAATGATGTTTGTGCTGGCAAACACTTATTGCAGTATGTCGGTTTCTTTGTTTCCTATGCCAGTTTCTGTTTTTTTGACGACTTATTTCTGCAGATATCCGAGACAGCTGTGTGCGGTGAGAGACCACAGTCTTCCCACGCAGTAAGGCTATCCGTCCATTCACCTCTCAATCTCTCTGATGACCGATTATCCCGATCAGGGCTGCTGGCAAGTCTATCCGTTCAGTTCGGAAGGTCCTTTTTAGCATTGCTCTATAATGCGAGCAAAGAGCAGAATAATGAGCCCCTTGCTCGAGTTTTATTCTTAGCCCGGTCTATAACCATAACCCGAATGAAAGATCCTAATTCTGTTAATTCTTAATTGTTTTAATTCTGTAATTAGGTCAGGAAAGTTACTTGAAATAACTATTTACGTGCAGTAAGTTTGTCAATTAATGGTTGCGTGCCAAGCGTGCCACGTAAATGCTGTGAAATCAATGTTATTGGTGAAATTGAGCTATTCGTCCAGCAGGAGGCATCCTTCAGCTAACCCTCAACTAAACTAACTCTCTTAGTCTTGCATTATACTAACTGTCGTGTTAACTGATCATGTTACTGTCCTGCAGCCTGATTAATGTTTCCTAATGTAACCCTAACTATCTTATTAACATTTCATGTTCTCTCTTCCTTTCCTCCACTGCCTCTATTATGTTTCATGAACAGACCATTGTGAGTATGTGATACAACATCTATGATATCTACAGTACATACGTTAATTTTCTGTTTACATTATCGTTATCATGGAGAAATACATTTCTGCCAAGGGAGTGTTTATTTATCTGCCACATAAAATATGACGAGATCTCTGAGAAAATCAAGTAAGATAACACAAAAGTAAACTTGTATGAAGAGTGAAAATACAAAAAGAGCCAGGAAGTGTGAGAGCATCAGCTTCTCTCAGTATCAAACACATCCTGTATATAAACATGGATAGATCTCTTCACGTGCTTTTTATTCTGTGGGAAGACTTATTATTTCACGTAGTGATGTGCCTACAATCAATTGCACAAGCAGAGCAAAGTTTCAAAATCCAAAATAACATTGTCTAAAATACATGCACTAGAAAGTTATTACTTCATATTGAAATTGTCTGTTTCCTGATCTTTGTTAATTTCAGCCTCCCCCTGCCAAGTATGGTAGCAGATACACAGTGATATTGATACCTGGTGATGGCATTGGGCCAGAACTGCTTAACCATGTCTGTGATCTTTTCAGGTCAGTTAAAAGTATGTCTGTAAAATCTGAAGTCTATTTTTAAGCATAGAGTGTTAGGGTTAGGGTTAGGATGTTATTTTATTTGCAATGCTGCTAATCACCTTTATTAGTCCAGAGATGCAGTACAGTATGTGTAAGAGAGATTTGCATGGTCTGTATTGGGCTGCGCAGATACAGGTGTGTTAGCAAATGTTCGTGATGCCTATCATCAGGTTTGTCTGTGTCCCAGTGGACTTTTTAAGTGGTTTGTGTAAATTCTTCAGCAAGGAGGACATTAATAATACCATTATTGCCATCCAACGCAATGGTGTTGCGCTCAATGGTCAGCTCCTTATTTCATGTAAATGTGAATCTTCAAAAGAATCAGTTTGAAGGACTAATGCAGGAAACAAACAAAATATTTCCATTCAGACATGAGTCCTTTTCAAAAGTCAA